CCCCAAAACCCCAAAACCCCAAAACCCCAAAACCCCTAATTTAAATATTAGCATTGAAAAGAATTCAAATAAAATTCTAATGGGATCTAAAGAGGAAGTTGTTACTATTGCGATGTTTCAATGTAAATTCCCTCATAATACATAGCCTTGGAGAAGAAGTTTAAAAGGATGTCGGCTGAGATCAGATCGTTGAAGAAGGAAATGGATGAGCTTAAATAATGAGAAAAAGGAGCTAAAAACATCGATTCAGAACGAACATCCTGGAGAGGAAGTCGATCAGGAAAGGTACAATTTGTCTGTTACTTTTAGAAAATTAAGATCTATTCCTAAGAAATCGTTAAGATTACACAAAAATTTGAAGGATATCAAGACGAATTTCAGGATTTCACCCAAAATTGACACAGAAAGCATGATGAAAGCAATCATCCCCGAGAAAGCACATGTCAGTTGCTGAGACTACGTTAATGGTACTCATATTGTGTAAGATTTTAGATAAATAAAAGAGGAAAGGTAATACTAACAGTTAACAGAAATTTTGAATTCGAGAAAATATTACTTTAGATGAAAAAGAATGGAAACTATACAGCAAAGGAACCAAGTGAGAATCATAAAAGCCCAAGCGCTTTAAGTATGTCAATTTATAATTTTGAAGCTGAAGAGTTTATCATTTTATTAGAACAAAAACAAGCTCCCTCTTCAACATTTAAAAGAACTAAAACAGCATGAAATAAATCTAACAGTAAAGTCAGATCCAAACGAACAAGGAAAAATTCACCTAAAAACTTGAATAAAACAGGTATTCTAATTTGGGCAACTATAGAAACTTCTGAGAACAAATCCATATCTCAAAAAGGCAACAAAGAGGTTTGTTCCAAAGATGTTATCTCTGTCCTCACCAGGAAGCCTCTTAAGCCAAATTTTCAGAATGTAAAATCAAGGATAGACTCTCATTGGGGCAGTGGAGTGCCAAAATTGAACCAGGATTCCACTATGAACTCTGAAGAGAACAAAGAGCTAATAACACCTAGTGGATCTACCAAGAGTGGTATATCTAAGACGTCTAATGACTCTCTCTTTCAGAGGAATTGTGAAACCTCAAGTTCCAATGGATTTCAGGCTCAGGAGATGACTGAGAACCAGCCTCAAGAAGACACCGTCTAAAGTAAGTTTAAGCTGATAGATAATAGGTAATAAACTGCCGGATTTTTCTCTTAATTCTTAATTTTGCATGCTAAATGGGAACTTCTGGAGACAATTGATCTATTCTAAACAACTCTATATTAATAACTTATAATCTAGAACGAAAAGACCCAAATAACAAAGGAATAGAATACAATAAGCTTCAATTTAACAAAAAGAGACAGGGGTTTTGGGGTTTTGGGGTTTTGGGGTTTTGGGGTTTTGGGG